CATGTAGATCAAAATTCTACATAATTTAAGTTCTATAGTTCATCATACAATAAAGAATACTATTGACAAATGACTATCATGAAATGAAATAAATGGTAGATATTATAATATCAATACAACCACATTTATTACAGCTTTAAAGTTGTAGATCAGGAGTTTCTTACAAAAAGCTTTTTACTGTTGAGTATGACTTTCTATAGTATACTTATTATAGATGTTATAAGATTTTTTGATTTAAACATAGGTCATATCTTTTACATCATAACATCTGTAAGGTTACCCAAAAGCTAACCTATTCTTAGTAATTTCATTTTTACACTGGACTTCCCCCTTTAAACTTTTTTTCTAATGTCCCAAGTCTAATCAGTATCTATAAACCTTATATAAACTTATCTTACTTACATCCTGGTTCATCCAATACATGTTATATATATACTCCACATCATAGCAATTCTCACTTAATATCATAATCTACACTTAACATACACAGTCATAATAGGGAACTAGCAACCAAAAATTAACACACATCAAATGAGAAGCTATTTTTAAGGTATCAGTTTATAGATAGGTATTCAAATGAAATGAAATGAATGGAGTGTTACGTCCTACTCTTCTGCACCTTGAGGGCTAATGAAGACGGGCAACGCCGTGCAGGGTGCCATGAGGGAAATTTTGCCAGGACAGCGGTATTAGCCTGCTCCTTTTAGATTTCCAACTGTCGAGGGATGTTTAATGTGCACAGCCTATAGCACATGGGGCCTCGGTTTATTGTCCCATTCGAATGACTAGATGCTTTTTCCATGTCAGCCCCTCTTACCTGCATCACTGACAGGTATTATCTCGACCTATGCAGGGATTGAACCCTGGACCTTCAGGTTAGCGAACAAGCGTCTAACTCACTGAGCCACCGCGGCTCCCAGATAGGTATTTCTTACTTCTGTCTATTTCTACATGAAGCCTGACACTTCAGCAGCATTATTCATATGAAATGATCAAAGGTTACTGGAAGTCCCAAAACAACAAGGGAACTTCTTTGAGTTAAAGGGGAATTCTGCTATTTTTGGTGGTCCAAAATTTTTTTTGCTCAATATGTGAAAACTTTACACCAAAATCAACAGAAATGCATCCCCATATCTAAAAGTTTAACTAAAAAATCC